AATTCTAACGATAACAAAATATACCTCAAAGGGCTGTTGTGAGGAAAAAATGAGTTAATGTTTGTAACATGCTTTATAAATCTTAAAGCATTATATAACTATTAGTTAATAGTAATAGTAACGGCAATAATCATTCTGGATTTCAAATCACCCTGTGTGGCCATGAAATAGCCCTCAGTAGAATGGCTAGGCTTAGATCAGATGACTATGTGACCTTCAGGGAAAACCTAGGTTCTTGGGGTATCCATTTGTACTTTCAAAAGCAGCATGGGCTCAGCCACAAAGGGAGTTGATCACATAAGGCTCTTCTACCTTATCTCATGTTTGCTGCCCACTCATGTGTTAAACCCAGTACAGTACACAGTGGAGCCACAGTCACTATTATGAAAGGCTGAAACACTAGAGGAGTTATAATGTCCCCAGTCTGCTGAGGGTCAGAAGTTTGGATATTCCTTCTTTGTCTCATCTGAACAAGAGGTAAATCACCATGCCTTCCACAAAGTAAGCTATTTGATAAATGTTTGTTGAAGGAATGAACAAATAAACCAGTGTCAAACTACATTACCAAGGCATGAGGGGAGATACCAGAAAGAATTTCCTGATAGAAAAAGATATGAAGAATAGGTAAGGTATATTCTGTCTGGAGCCATGAGTTCAGTAACAGCCTCTAGAAGACTCTCTCAATCCTAGAAAGGTAGTGATAGAATTAATTATGCTTCAAGAAAATTCAAAACAGCAAGTATAGCAATCATGATCTCAAACAAGGCAATAGTAAAAAAAAAAATAGAGATGGTTAAAATAAACATGGAGAATGTATTTGCTTTAATGCACCATCAATAATGAAATAATATCAATACTTAATATGTATGCACTGAATGGCATAGACCTAAGTACTTGAAAGGAAACTAACTGAACTACAGGGAAAAATAGACAATAAAACTATGGTAGTTGGGGACCTTAACATGCCCCTTTCAGACCTAGAAAAAACTAACAAAAATAAAATTATAAAACTATTAAGTAGATAAATGGAATTTTAGAAAAGTTAAATATAATAGCTCTATGGTGATTACTAAATGGGATTAGAAAGGAATATAAATATTTCTCAGTTGTCCACAGTACCTTTACAAAGGGCAGGGATGGTAGAGTATTTAGAGGTACATCCTTTAACTATCAGCTAGGTGTCACAATGTATAGAATGCCAAGTCTGAAGTCAGGAAGACCTGAGTTCAAATCCAGCCTCAGACACTTACTAGCTGTATGGCCCTGGACAAGTCACTTAATCTTCTTTGCCTCAGTCTCCTCATCCATAAAATAAGCTGGAGAAGGAAATGGCAAACCACTCCAGTGTCTTTGCCAAGAAAACCCCAAATGGGATCACGAAGAATTGAACATGATTGAAACAACTGAAAAACAACAACAACCTCATAAAAAGGAAAAGCCCAGAGACAAACATGATTTCACATGATGTTTAACTTCTTCTGGCTCTCCTTATAGGATCAATAGACCCCTCCCAAGTTTATTCCTAAAAAACATTCCACAGAGAATCAGAATCATAGCTCTTGATCACACCATAAAACTGATGGCTGATATGTGTCTTTGAGGCAAACAGAATTCACCAGAATGCTAGGGACTTGCCTCTCTAGGAACCCCAAGTTTACTTCCTTTCCAAGGAGAGCCCAAGGCATGAGGTGGGAATATATATTGGGGGAATTACATAAGGCCCTAGCAGAAAGCTGGAATTCACTAATGAGATAGGAATAATTATATTGATTGTTTACACATTACTGTGCATCCTTGATGTGTTTTCCACATTTACTGTGGAGTGAAATAAAGGCTGTCCTGTTCCTGATAACACATCATTACCTTGAATGTTTGTATAAAAGTTGGGGACTCTTTTATCCACATTTGTGGAAATCTGCACAAGATATACTTTATTTTTAAGATTTCTAAGATTCAAACCCAGCTAAAGACAAGATGATGCCCTCTTATGGAGGGCAGCCTCCAAGATTGAGCTCAGTCTGTATAAATACAAAGCTTTTGGTACTGGACCACAAGTAATATATCCAAAATTAAGAACAGTTCCACAAGGCATAATAACCTCTGTAAAACTAAGCATTGTCTCTACCTTCTTCCAATGAACTATGAGCTTCCCCTTCCCTCCTGCTGGGAGGTGTCCCACCCACACCTAATCCCCTCCAAAAAGAGACTGGGATAAGTATTTTGAACTGCAGTCCAAGAGAGAGAAAAAGAATTCTTGCATCCAGATTTCAACATAATATACCCTCTCCTCAGTCAAGGTTCAGCCTACCACTCAAAGAGGCACAATAATATTGTAATATGTGTTCTTTGTGCCTAGTAAAGAGCCATAAATCTTCTGAAAGATAAGTATAAATTGTATTTAAGGAACTCCAAGCACTTCTTGGCTACTTATTATCTTAGACATCCCCTCCCTGAGAGATGGGCCAAGATGTCACCATGACATTCTAAGTCCATCTTCCTATGATCTTCTTTTTTATCTATTTATTTTTGAGTTTTCAACATTCACTTCCATAAGATCTTGAGTTCTAAATTCTCTCTCCCTCTCTCCCCTACCCCCACCCCAAGATGGTGTGCAATTTGATATAGGCTCTACCTATACATTCATATTGAAAATCGTCTTTTCAACCCTAAAGGACTCTCTCAATAGTTTACGTGAATAAACTTAAGTCCAGGCCAGGGAGGTGTCTTCTCAAAGGTCATAGGGAAAATCAAGGATGTAGCTTAAAGAAGAACTGAGAATTGATTCTCAAACCAGAGATCTGTCTCCTGGAATCTCTCTCCTTGAACTGAGCACTGCCCACATTAGCTGCCCTGGCTGTATAGCATCCACAGCTATTCTTAGAGCCAGTAGTGTACCTGGGAAATCTTGAGCCTGGTACAAAATGCCCCAGCACTGTCACATTAGGAATAGCAGGGAAAGGAGTAGATCCTGTCTGTGTCACCTTGGGCAAGTCACTGAGTATCTCTGGGCCTCATTTTTCTCATCTGTGAAATAGCCTAAATAGCCACTACATGTCCCTTCTAATTCTGTAGCTTTGACCCACTGATCCTTCAACCTAAACTAGAGCCTTAAGTATCATTTGTGTACACTGGTCAAAGCATTAACAGTAAAATGTCTTAGTTCTGGGTAGTTTTCTCAGCCTTATTGAGAAGTCAGAAGGGGTGGGAGCTCTCTCTCTGTTCCCCCTAAACTTACTGCCCCTAGTATAACTGGGTTTTTTTAAGCCATCACCCTCCAGTCAAAAGATAACAAATGTTATATCCACATACTGATGTTGACCCAGCATACATAGTGTGCCACCCTTCTGGCTACAGCCTGCACTCCAGCACCTGGAGGGAGCCCAGGTGTGTCAAACCCCCATCCTCTCTCTGGGAGAGACCAGGAGGTAAGGGATCTTCATGTCATGTGACGGGAGCTAGGGCAGGTGCTAGAATTCGGTGGGCATGGAATATCACCCATATGTTCTGCATTCACCCACCAGAAGGATGCAGCCATGGGCTTTGCCCACGCACAGACTGACAGCCAGAAGAGAGGGAGCTTAACCCTTTAGCAGCTACCAGAAGGAATGACTTTAAGAAAAGTACTGGCCTAGAAGGTGTTAACTTTGTCCCCCAGCAAAGAGATCAAGCCCCATAGATACCACCTGCTTTATGATACCATGTTCATAATGTTCCCTGCTTAAAGAACAAGAAACAAGAAACTAGGGGCTGGAGAATATGGGGGTGGAGGGTGTGGGAGGTGGGGATGGAAAGGAGGGAGAGAATATAGCTAGAAGGCTTTTTAAGAAAACCAGAGGAATTAGAGGGAGAGAGAAAGGGAGCATTGATGTTTAGACAAGCTGTTGAGATGGAACTGAGGCTGAGCCCTGAAAGCCCCTGACTGGGTTTAACCATCTCTCAAACATAACTTCTAAAGACCCATGGGGGTCTCTGAGCCTTCATCTATATATAACCTTTTTTCTCCTTCCAAGTATATCAAGTGAACCAAAAACATATCCAGCCCCACAGTCTCAACTCACATCCCAAAATAGGTTCACCTTTTCCTTGCTGAACATACCTCAGGCACAGCCAGACACACACACACACACATAAAGCCCCTCCCCCAGACACACCCCCGCCCAGTACCTTTGGGTTATGAATTCCTGGTCCTCCTCCTCCCAGGAACTACCAGGTCCTCTGCACTGCGCCCCCTGCCCAGTCCCGTCCAGGTAACCAGAGCCACAGTCCAGACCATTCCACTGAGGCAAAACCGACAACTTTCCCCAACCGCCCCCACCCACCCACTGGAATTAAGAGAGGGGAGACTCACGTGGAAGGCAGAAGTGGCAAAGAGTATGGTTCTTCTGGGGGTCTCTCCCAAACTGGAGTTGGTAAGGTGGGGGATCTAGCAGGACAGGTAAGGGGCTGAGTGGTTAGCTGCTTCACCCGGTAGCTGCCTGTGCAGAGTGAGAGGAGAGCTGACAGGTTTTCCCCCCTTTCCTCCTCTGAGTTGCTAACCACACCCCTGCTGCTCTGCTACCCACTTCCTTAAAGGGCTGGGTGTGTTGTATGTGTTTGTGTGTGTGTGTGTGTGTGTGTGTGTGAGCGTGTGTCTGCACCAGCCACTTACCATAAACTCTGAAATAGAAGCTGCTGTCGAATCCCGGAGTTGCTAACAGCGACCTGAATGGAAATTCTGCCACTGCCACTCATTCAAAAGGAGGGGAAACTCTGAAGTTTTCCGTCTTCATGAGTTGGGCCCCCTAGCTCTTACCATGCTATCCCCTATTCCTCTGTTCCTCACTTCTGACCTCTGGAAAACCCACTTTCCAAATTGGGTTCAGGCTATGGCCAAGCTTTGGACATCCAATCAGGGACCTGGAATGCAGCACTCCCGGGTTCTAAGCCCTCCCACCCCATTCATCATTCTATGGCGTAATTCCCTATAAGAGTGTAGATTCAGAGCTGGAAAGAACCTCAAGGACCATCTAGTCCGTACTTTCAAATAATGAAACTGAGGCACAGAACAGCTAAACGATTTACTCATGGTCACACAGGTAAGAAATATTCAGATTTGAACTTGATCCTCTGGCTCCCTCCCAATCCAGTGCTCTTTGGAGACCCCTTTAGAGGCAGTTTCCCTTTCCCCCTCACTAGATAGGCAAAATTCTGCCCCTCTCCCAGCCTTCTTTTAACGTCAGCAGGATACAGTGGAAAGAAAGAAGAATTAGGAGACGAGAGTCCCGGGGTCTCATCCCCGTTCAGACCATATAGGCAAAATTCTGCCCCTCTCCCAGCCTTCTTTTAACGTCAGCAGGATACAGTGGAAAGAAAGAAGAATTAGGAGACGAGAGTCCCGGGGTCTCATCCCCGTTCAGACCCTGATGACTAGCTGTGTTATCTTGGGCAACCTCTCTGGAACCCGGCTTCCTCACCTGTAAAATGAATGTATTGCGCTTGGATGCTGATGTCTAGGATTCCTTTCAGCTCTAACATTGTATTCTATTCTACCAGTTGCTTAGTGAGAGGGGGTGGGTTCTGGCAGGGATGAGGTAGGGGGACAAGTTGGAAAGTAAGGGTCCCTTCCTGCTCATGACATCTCTCCCCCAAGTGCCTGGAAACCTTAGCTCAGGTTTCTTCTTTATTGAAGAAATCTGCCAGAATTCAGAATCTGCCACCGCACTTCGATGTGAGTATTCAGTTCTCCCAGGAGATTGAGATATTTAAAGCTTAGGTGGGTGGGAGGCAGGGAGCAGCTTTTTCTAATGGAATGAGGTGCTGATGACATCCTTTAACATGCTTGGAGCTCATGTCCCTTAGCCAGTTCCTCCCCCAAACAAATCCAACACAAATGGCCCTATCAAGGAGGCAGGATCAGGATGGTAGCCACCCTCCCTGCCACCAGCATAACCCCCACCCCCAATCAATCAATCAATCCATAAGCATTTCTTAAGTGCCTACTAGGTGCCAAGTACTATTCTAGGATCTGGGACTAAAAATACAAAGAATAGAGTAATCCCAACTTTCAAAGCTCATCCTCCACAAACTTGGAACCCGGTAGTCTCTGTCCATGTCTTAGTGCCACTGCTGCCAGCAGAGCAGGAGAGGGTTGTGGTGGTATTCAGTGGTGACGGTACTGAGGAGGGCCATTCATTCAAAGAAATATTTACAAAGTGGGAATTAATTGCAGTTAGGATTTAAAAACCAGTTTGCTAACTCTAGATCTAGTGCTCTTTCCATTATACCATGTTGTCCACCTTCATACATCTGCAAAATAACCTGCCTAGTGTATAGGTCTAATAGGGCACTCTCTCACTTACTAATTTTCAGTGGCTCCCCATTACCTACAATGTAAAACACAAACTCCTTATCTTGGCATACAGGGCTCTCAGCAATCTGGCTTCAGACTGCCTTGTTCCACTTCCCACATATTATGTTCTATCTTCACTAGAATATTAGCCATGCTCCCATATGCATTCTGCCCTCAGCCACCTTGAAGCATTTACTGAGACTGGCCCCCATGACTAGAATGGATTACATCCACATCGCCACCCACTGAAATCCTTTAAGACTCAGCTCAAGTGCCAGCCACCTTCTCCCTAAAGTCTTCCTGCCCCACGAGATATAATCCCTTCTTCCCCAATCTTTCAGCCCTCTCTTTTGGACCTTTCATGTGCATTTGTAACATTCTAACCATGTTAGATGCCCTCACTAGCAGATCCTGATGCTTACTAGCTTTCTGACCTTGAGTCAATCACTTGACATGTCTAGGCCTCAGGTTTCTTATCTATAAAGTAAGGGAGTTGAACCCTTCCAGCCTTATGAACCCAAGCTCCTATGACTGTAAACTCCTTAAGGACAGGTACTATAGTACAGAGTGAGAAATTGCAAATGAGAGAAGAGAAGGGGCAATGATATGCCAGCACAGAGGCAAAATATGCATGTATTGGTCGGAATGGGATGGAATGGAATGAGACTGAAGTCTATCTGGGTAGACCTCCCCGGATGAATGTGGTAGTTTCCTTTGTGACCACAAGGTGGCACACTGGTTAGCAATATCAACGAGTGCTCAACTATACTCTTCATACATCTGAAGGCGAAACTACTGACCAGGTTTTCCAGGTGAGCAGTTGGATTTGCTCTCATCCAGTCACACTTTCTCATCATCAGCTCCACCTAGTGACCAATAGCATCCATTCAGGAGATGGTGAGCGAGGCAAACAAATGGGGAAGCCAAGCTAGGGACTAGGCCTAGGATCATCAAGCATAGATTTAGAACTGAAAGCAGTCTCAGAAACTCCCTTATCTTGTATTTGAGGAAACTCAGGTCAAGGAGGGTTAAGTGTCTTGCTCAAGGTCACACAAGTGATAAAGGTATGATTTGAATTCAGGTCCCCATACCACACCACAGCTGGATACATACTTCATAAGTAATGACGACAACAATTACTATTAATGATACTGATTAATAATAGTATATAATCTAATTCATATTAATAATATTTTGTGTTATTAATATAAATAATGATTAATAACTGATATTTATATAATGCTTCATAGTCTTCAAAATTCTTTAAATATATTCTAACCAGTGGTGTGTTAATAAATGTTTAACAAATGCCTCTCTGAAAAAATGTGTACCCGACACATTTTTAAGTTTAATCTGCATTATTAACATTTTTTCCATCACTTTCTTAAGCCTAGACAATCAACAAAACAATAAGCCAGGCATAAATGCTCACACTGAAAATTAAACAATGGGCTCCAATTAGAGCTGGCTTCAACCCATACCCATTACAGTTCACATTAATCAATTGGCAAGTTTTTATATGTGTTTAGTATATGCCGGTATGGCATGAGGCTAAAAGGTCAGCATACAAAGACAAAGGCGAAACAGTTCCTACCCTTAAGGAACTTACATTCTAACTAGGAAAACAATCTGCAGGCGTACATGTGCCTGTACAACATGTGCAATGCCTGGCACATAGTAGACACTTAATAACTGTTTGTTGTCTGAATGACATATAGAAGTATATTTAGAGTACTGAGGAAACAAAGGTTCGATCTTCTGAGTTTATCAATTTATTTAGCAATGCATGGCAATTGCCCAACAAAGCAGGACCAGGTCCCTATCTCAGCTTAGGCCTGGACCCCAAATACAGAGGTAGAGAGACTTTTATACATTAAAACAATTGCTAAAATAAGGCCAATTAGTTAAAAGGAAACAACACGACATTAGGTAATCTGATTTGTAATGGGACGAAAGATTAGGGACTTTCCGAGTTGGGAGGGGGACATCGAACAGGTAAAATTCTCTGAATTCAGAAAAAGAGGTATCTCACTCCCCTTCCATGCATCTATAAACAATCAAAGGAACATGGAAACAACAGCTGATTGATCAGTACAGGGCTAGTTGTCAGGTAAGACATACAGATCTCTTGAGGTTTATAATTGTGAGAAAACTTCTTGCATCAGTCTTTGAATCTGACTGGGTTTCTGGTCAGCATAACTTAAGTCCTTAGTTAAGGGTCTCTAAGCAACAGGGAGAGGTGGTCCAGTTTCCCAGCCACACAGTGCTAGGTTCAAACAATGCAAAAAAGTTTTCTCCCAATTTTCATGACTAAACAAAGTTTTCTCACAGTACGGAATTTTGTCTAGACTCATAATTGATTAAAAAAGGAACTGAGCTAACTCCAGAATTGTGTCACAAGATGGAGTTAGTGTGGTTTACTCAATTCTCACTAGCTGTCCTAATCCCCTCAATTCCCTCAGTTTCCTCAGTATATACAAAATGGATACAAGGTAGTTTGGAGAGAGAACGCACTAGTGTAGCTTGGGATGGGGGAGTGAGAGAGCAGGGAGGATTAGAAAGATTTCCAGTAGAATCGGGCTGAGTCATAGGACATAGGGTCCTAAATTAAGAGCTGAAAGGGATCTTGGAGGTCATCAGGTCTTGAAGGAAACCAGGAATTTCAAGAGAGGTGGGAAAATGAAAGGAAAAACAGCATTTATTAAGCACTTTCTATGTTGTCGGGTGCTATGTTAAGAGCTAGAGATACAGATACAAGATAGTCCCTGTTCTCAGGGAGATTATATTCCAATTGGGAAAGACAACACTTAGAAGGAAGCAAGAGTCAAAAAGAATAGGGCATGATAGAGGGTCCAAGTTCAGTGGTATGGTTGGCCAAGGAAATGATATGATGGGCCCAGGACTAGGGTAAGGTAAGGCAAAAGCTCACCTATCTGAGACTAGGTCTCAGGGGTGGGAGTTCAGTTCCAGTGAGAGGAGGCTGAGTAAGATGCCATAGAGGGAATGCATTTACAACATGGGGGACAGCTAGTACAAAGGCACAGAGGTGGAAAGTAGAATCCTGTGTGTAAAATAGAAAGTAGGACAGTATATGTGGAATGCAGATCAAGGGGAGCAATGATTAAGAAAACTGGAAATGTGGGAAGGAGTCAGGATTATAAATGCCACAGATTTTATTCTAGAGGTCACAGAGCCACTGGTGTTTACTGAGTGGGGGAGGGAGAGTATCACATTGTCAGACTTGCTCTCTAGCTGCTTTAAGGACTACAAAGCTTCACAGCAATTCTATATAAAGCAAGTAGGACATGTATCATTCTCCCCATTATATAGATGAAGAAAATAAGGTTCAAAGAAACTTGCCCAAGGTCAGACAGGTGGTACTGCTAGCACAGCCTGTATGCAAACCTAAATCCTCTGACTCCAAATATGATCTTTACTATTGAACAATGATTCTATCTTTGTAATCTAACCAATTAAGCTAACAGGCCATAATTCCAAGTATTACCCTGGGCCTGCCTTCTAATTCAATTCAGTTCTTAGAATTTTAAGATGCCAGCACTAAGGAGAGCTCCAGGGTCATGTGGTCACCCATTCACCCAATATTCATTGAATGTCTATAGTAAATGAAAATGTATGGTGCTACATACTGGAAGGAGTTAACAAAGAAAAATCAGGATGTAATTCACCTTCTCAAGGAGGTTACATTCTAGTGGGGGTGATAAGTCATAGAAACAGGTAGCAGGAGTTGGAAATCACCATGGGGTGGTTTCAGGAAAACACATGGTTCACCAGTGAAAGAATTTGTTGCTTTGGGATAAGGCAGGAAACCCTAGGTCTTCCCTCTGTCATCCCCTGAGAGCTGAAGGGAGGTGGTATAAGCCCTGCATTGGGGGGCTTTGATGGCTATGTCAAAGCCTTATCAGAGCCATTGGCCACTAAGCCAATTAGAGTGGCTCTTACAGTCCAACTCCATGGACCTTAAAAAGTGAGTTCTAAATCTATGATAATGGTGACCACAGGCTCAATCCCCAACAGAGCTTCCCCATTTGCTTGGCTAGCTATCTCCATGATATTGGTCACTAGGTAGAGCTGATGAGAAAGTATGACTCTGCCCTCTCTTTTTTCCATCTGCCAACTGAGTCAATACTATTGAAGCCTCCCTTAAGTGGCTTTCTCCCACTACAACAACATGGAAACTTCTTCCACATGGAAGCTGAAATAGGAATTCAGCTAAACAAGCTTTATCCTGGGCCTCTGACTGCCTTTTCTGTTTCTTTACATATCTAATTGTAGATGACTAAATGGTAATCCTGATAGGAACCTTCTGAGTTGTGGCTACCTTGGGTTCCTCACCTGGTGCTAGCTGAACTCTGGGAGGAGGCAACTATCCTAGGACTTCTTGGAGAAGATGAACACTGGCAGGAAGATGAGCCCAACATCTGCTCTGGCTTACCAGAAGATATGTATTTTGAGGGAGTAAGTACAGTGCAGTTTAGATGATATGTGAAATGCTTATTTGGCAGTCCCACAAAATGTTACAAGTTAAGTACCAACCCCCCAGAAAAGTGTAGTGGTAGTTTTAAGTTATTGCTGTTCTTTGTCTAAGTTTTTCTATCAATGAACATTTGTCTTTAAGTATTTCTTAGTATTAAGTAAATAAATAGCTGTCTCATAATTGATTTACATTGTACATTGATTATCTTTCTACTCCCTCCCTCCCTCCCACTTGGGAACCAAAATATAAATGTAACCCCAGTCCCAAAGCCAATTGGTATGAGATTTTCTCCCAACTGGTGGAGATTGGTGCCCTGCACCTGTATAAGAGGTGGGGCAGAGTTAGAGCAGAAAAGCTCCAATATCTTCAGTGTTCTTCAAGTTCCCTTCTAGTCACTGAGTCCTTTGGACTTTGGGCAGATCTGGCTTCTAGCTTTGAGAGAAAAGATGGAAGATCCAACCCCACTTCCGGTTGCTAAAGGAAAAGACTCTGGGAAGAAGTCAACATGACAGGAGCTGGCAGTCTTTATCATACCCCTATCTCCAGCTTGCTACACCAGAGACCAGGGAACTTCCCCTCAGGTGGAATCTAGGACTCCCTGTCTTGGCTGAGCTGGGTTACCGTACTCCCAGTGAGAGAACTCCTTCACTCTGTATTGTCTGTTATATATTTTCATATGCAGACTTCTCTGATTTCTGTTTTACTACCAATTTGGATAAATGGGTTTCTTGGTGTATTTGTTATGGTACGAGTATTTGGTGGGAAGAGAGTCAAGCCTTGGATATGAAGCTTGGGATCCCGCTATCCCCCAATAATGCAGGCAGGGAGTAGGCTGACCTATTATTTCTTATACACAGCCCTTCATCTCCTACCTCCATATCTTTTTACTAGCTATCCCCCATTCCTGAAATATACTTTCTCCTCACCCCTATCTCTCAGCATCCCTAATTTCTATCAATGTTCCATTCAAGCACAACCTTCTACATCAGGCCTTTCTTGTTCCTCCAAGCTACTAGAGCCTTCCCTATGAAAAGTTTTGCACATATATACATATATATACACACACACATATACATACATATATCTATATGTACACACACACACACACACACACATATATATATCTGAGTAGCTAGATGGTACAGTGGATAGAGCACTGGGCCTGGAATCAGGAAGACTCATTTTCCTGAGTTCAGATCTGGCCTCAGATACTTACTAGCTGTGTGACCCTGGGCAAGTCACTTAACCCTGTTTGCCTCAGTTCCTCAGCTATAAAATGAGTTGGAGAAGGAAATGGCAAACCCCTCCAGGATATTTGCCAAGAAGACTCCAAATGGAGTCACGTAGAGTTAGACACAACTGAAACAACTCAACAACTAAACAGCAACAAAATACATGTACCTGTCATTTCCCTCAACCAGACTATAAGCTCCTAGAAGACAAGGATTGTTCTAACTTTTATCTTTGTATTCCTAATGCCTAGCCCAGACCCTAGCACATAGTAAATGAAACTAGTACATAAAAACCTAGCACATAAAAAAAAGTTAGGCACTTAGTAAATGCCTGATTGACTGATGGGATAGGTAGAACAAGTATTATTCCTATTTCCCAGAGGAGTAAACAGAGGTCCAGAAGAGTTGAGAATTGTCCAAGGTTCCTCCCCACCCCCACTTTTTTTGGGTCAAAATATGTGCTTCCATCTGTGTATGAAACTCCTAGAATGGAAACACCAGGAGGGAGAAGGTGTTTGCTCCAAGAGGAGCTTGCTGCCACCCTCTAAACTGTCTACCTAAAGAGAGCCTAGCTGCTGTCACCAACCCCACCACCAGTTACAGTTCTGCCTAAAAAACAGAAGGCAAGGATTATTCTTCCCCATTTTACAGAGGATCTAATGAAGTCCTAGAAAGAACACTAACATTGCCCCAGTTCCCAGTGCCTTCCTTTATAAGGCTACCTTCTATCTACTCTGTTTATATCTTAGATGAACCAATTTATCTACATGTTGACGCCAGTATTAGAAAGCCAACTTGGGGCAGCTAGGTGGCGTAGTGGATAGAGCACTGGCCTCAGACTAAACACTTGACACTTACTAGCTGTGTGACCCTGGGCAAGTCACTTAACCCCAATTGTCAAAAAAGAAAAAATAAATGCCATGCTTTTTGCTCTCGTGCTCTCTCTCTCTCTCTCTCACTCTCTCTCTCTCTCTCTCTCTCTCTCTCTCTCTCTCTCTCTCTCTCTCTCTCTCTCTCTCTCTTTATCCCCAGTACCTAACATGGTATGGCACAGAGTAAGCGCTTAATAAATGTTTGCTGATCGGTTAATTGAATATGAGGAACTCAGAACCAAACCTGTAATAAAATTAAAATATCATCTCCTAGGTAGGATCAGTCAATCAATCAATAAGCATTTCTTAAACACCTACAATGGGCTAAGCACTGGGGATATAAAGACAGAAGTGAAAACAGTCCCTGCTCTCAAGGAGTTTACATTCTATTGGGGTGGAGACAACATGCATACATTTAGGCATATGTAAGATAAAGTCACTAGACCACCGAGTCCTTTGACCCAGAGATTCTGCAGCTACACACACACACACACACACACACACACACACACACACACACACACACACACACGTCAAAGACCGAAGACAGAAGTTGTATGTACCAAAATATTCATAGCAGCACTTTCTGTGTTAGCAAAAAAAACTAGAAAAAAAAGTAGACCCTCATCCCTAATTGGGGAATAGCTAAACCAAACTGTTACAAGAACACAATGGAATGCTACTGTGCCACAGGGAATTACAAATATGAATTCAGAGAACCGAGGCAGATTCAATTAAGCAGAATCAGGAAAACTATATACACAATGATCACAACAATGTAAATGAAAGCAACAACAAGGGGGAGGGGACCTTGAATGTTATGTAAAACTAACGAGCAAATTTGGCTCCAGGGAAGAATTGGGAAAATGTATTCCCTTCCTTTCATTGTAAAGATGGAGAACTATGGATGTGAAATGTTACCTGTACTGTGAGGCAGATGATGTTTTAGTCTTGCGGAACTGCTTTCTTTTCTCTTTATTTTTTATTCTTTCTTACAAAAGATGGCTTAGTAATAGCATCTACCTCCTAGAGTCGTGGAGCAGCCAGCTAGTACAGTGGATATAGCACTGGGCCTGGAGTCAGGAAGACCAGAGTTCAAATCCAGCCTCAGACACTGACTAGCTGTGTGACCCTGGGCAAGTCATTCAACCCTGTTTGCCTCAATTTCCTCATCTGTAATATTATCTGGAGAAGAAAATGGCAAACCCCTCCATTATCTCTGCCAAGAAAAACACAAATGTGGGGCCACGAAGAGTCAGACACAAGTGAAAGGATCGAACAACAACATCTCAGGGTTGTTATGAGGCTCAAATAGGATATCATTTGTAAAGTTCTTAGCACAGTGCCTTCCTTCATTCCTTTCTCCTTTTCTTTCATTCCTTCCTTCATTCTTTATTCAGTGAGTAGGGGAGGGATAGGGATATATTTAGAAATTAATGTTATATGAAAAACAAAATATATCAGTAAAAATAAGATTTTTTTTTTTAAAGATAGAGAATGCTCCTGTCTTCCTGCCCAGCTTCTCACTCAACTGGTCTTTCCATTCCATAGGCTCCAACATCAAGTTTCTTCAGGTCCAGTTCTAATTTGGAAGAACCAGTGCTCTTGAAGTGTTCTCTGCCACAATCTGCTCTCATCTTCCCAGAATTGTCTGTTCAGGCTAGAATGATTACATTGTATAGGTATCAAGGTCCAGCTTTTGCTTTCAATATCCAACTAATACCTTGAATAGATTGGAGTTGCTTCCAGTCAATGCTTATACTTCAGAGATAACTGGTGGGTCTAAACAAAACCAAAGTCATAGTGTTGCCTTCCTATTGGTAACTTCTGTTGGAAACTTAAGGCTTGTTGTGATATATCTGAAATATGTATAGTCTTGTCACTAAGACCCTGGAGTTCTAACCCTCTCAGAAACTATAAAAGTATTTTCCTCAATGTTTCCTTGAAAAATGATTGGCATACTATGCTCACTTGAGATCCACTCAAGTGTAGAAGGTTTTTTTTAAATTTTTCTATTTTTTTAAATTTCTACTCTCACTTCTGCGTGGAGTCAAAATGAAATGCACCCATAAGCAACTGGTGAAGTCCAATTCACTGTTTTTAAGGATCAGGGAGGATCACTGCTCTCATTCTGTTTCCCAAACCTGATAACTGGAATGCAGTTTCTGGCCCATTAACTCTGCATTCTTCTCTTTAGTACATCCATTATTCATCCATCCATCCAGGCCAAAGTAATAGCAGAAGATGCTTTTTGCTCTGCTGATGGTGTTTTAAACCAGCTTATTGTGTCCTCTGCAGCCCTGATTTTTTTATCTTCCAAGTGGAATGGTTTTTTCCCCAGGTTCGGTCTCTTAACATGTTTTATATTTTATTTTTTACTGTTCTTGAATCATTGTAACCAGTGAAATAATAATAATAATAATAATAACACTTGCATAGTGCTTGCTATGTGCCAAGAACTGTGATAAGCTCTTTACAATTTTTATCTCATTTGAGCCTCACAACAACCCTAGGAGGTAGGTGCTATTATATCCCCATTTTAGAGATGAGGAAACTGAGGCAAATAAAGGTTAAGTAACTTGCCCAGGGTTACACAGCTAATAAGTATCTGTTGTCAGATTTGAACTCAGATCCTCCTGACTCCAGACCCTGTGGTCTGTCCACTACGCCACCTAGCTGTACTAAGGCAAGTCTTTTGCTTTGTTCCAATGGCCCCTACATGAAGCATATATGGCCTTGGTGGAAATTGAATCTTCCTCAATTCATTCACTCTGTGTACTCTCAATGTATTCTTTGATTATTTTTGCTCTTTCTTGCAACCACTAACACCAATTATTTTTGGTTGCATATGGCCACATCGGTTCCCCAGTATCTCACCAGTCTCCTTCTCAGTCAGCACTTCCCAGTTGGGGAGGAGGCAGGAATAGTCAGGAACCATTAGGAACATTCAAATCTGTAAAATGGGGATAATAATAAGACTTAACCTAATAGAATGATTATGAGATCCAAAGGACATTTGCTTTGCAAATCTTAGAGCATTACACAAATTATAATTATTGCCGTTATTATTTCAAAGTGAATGCTTTCACTTGTACCCCATTCATTTCACTTGCATCTCATTCCTTCCTGTCTTTTGAGGGAGAGTCAGGAGGTAGAACATGCCAGCAAATCAAGCCACCACCACCACTTTGACCATCATTTACCTTCAGATCCTGATGGACACAGACTAGGACCCTAAGCCAAGAGTCTTGGGAATACTGGTATTCCACAATCAACAGAATTGTCTCCAGCCCCCACAGCCATCATTTAGTGAAAAATTATTTTGGGGAAGGGGCTCACCTTCTTTATCACTACCAGCAATAGAGCTGCTAACCAACTATCATAAACAGGCAGAAGAGCATATGAAGAGAGGTGTAACCTCCCTAAGACCACAGCCCTCATAACTCCTGTGAAGAAAGGGTTAGTCCTATCCCCACCAACTGCCAACCAAATACTACTCCTAGGGAAGGCAAGGTACCCTAAAGGAGAAATGGGAAGTAGCATATGCCAGTCAAGTCAACCCATCACCATCACCTTGGCTACCATCTGTCCTCAGACTCTGATGGAGACAGCCCAAGACATTAAATGCAAGAGACTTTGGAACAGCAATGCATCCAGTCCATTGCCCACAGCCTTCATCCTGGGAAGCAATCCCTGTGGAAATGGAGCCTGACAACCACTCCTAAAGGTGCTACAGCTAAAGTTACTGAAGACTTAGAAAAGAAAGTTCTCATCACCAAAGTTTTTGGAATTATAAATGGTTCCACATCATAAACTGATGTGATTTTACCAGCAGAAATGACATTAAAGAAGAGGCATTACCATCTGCTTCACTGCTGTACCCAAAGGACCATGGGTCCTTTCCCCCTACCTTGCAGTTACAACCTTGCATATATATGTCTCCCTTATTAGAATGTGAGTCTGTTTTACTTTTCTATGTGTATACCCAGTACTTTCTTTACACATAGTAAGCACTTAATAAATGCTTCATTCTTTCTCTTCTGGACCTTAATCCACCAATCATTCTCTCTCCCTTTCTATTATCTCGTTTCATTCTGGCTATAAACACACTCAGGCTTTTCCTACCTTTAAAAAAAATCATTTCTCACTTAACCCCCATTGCCTAGCCAAAAACAAACAAACAAACAAACAAAAAACCAAAAAAAAATCATTTCAAGGTACAGTCCAACAATGATTTTGCTTCACTGCTAAACTTTCAGGAAAAGTAGTTTGCATTCATGGCTTCTACTTCCTCATCACCCAACTCATTTTTTCATTTCTTGCAGTATAGCTTCCAACCTACCTATCAAAACTATTCTCTCAAAGGTCAACCAATGATCTCTTGCTTGACACATTCAATGACTTTTTTTTCTTGATTCTGTCATCCTTGGCCTTTCTCAAGCAGCTCACCCCTGTTTCAGAATCCTATTCTTCCTACCAGATGCAGTTCAAGCATCACCTTCTATATAATGTCTTTCCTGATCCCCTAAATGCCACTGCTCTCCCTCCTAAACTACCTTGAACTTAACTACTTTGTATTTATTCTGCCACCTCACCTCTGCCTCTTAAATTCCTTGGCTTCCTTTAAGACTCAGCTTAAAGCCTACCATAGCAGGCTTTTCTTGATCCTTACTGCTACTAATGCTTCCCCTTTCAGATTACCTTCCATTTAACATATATGTACACACACACACACACACACGCACACACGTTATTTACATGTTGTCTCTCCCATTACAAAGAATGCTTCTTGGGGACAGGGTCTTTTTTTTTTAATATATATACCTCTATGTCCCTATAGCTTAGCTTAATGCCTGACACCTAGTGAGTGTTTAAAATATGCTTGTTGACCTACTAATTTGTATTTATATATTTACTTATTTCTCCCTCCTTCCCATTAAAAGTTAAGCATCTCATAAGTAGAAATTGTTTCATTCTTTATACTTGCATCCCCAGTGCCTGGTGTGTAACAGGTGCTTAATAAAGCTTTGTTGATTGATTTGATGAACTTGATCTGTAGGATGTGCCTTGATGGACTGGTGTCAATTGGAGGTAATGATATAGGCCTGAAATGCAATAAATGGTCATGTTTGGAGGGGCCTTGGAATCCAAATCCAGAGTAGTTGGAATAAACATTCCACGAGCTTAACATTCCCTTTGAATTGGAAATCCCTAGAAGAATCTTATTAAAAAGAGGGATTTACTGTCTGTACTATTTACATCACATATGAGTTAAAAGATTTCTATCATAAGTGAATTTGCAGGTGGTCATTAATATACCTCTTTCCATAAAAGTTATATTGAAAGAATTCTCCTATATGATAACTCTAATACACATGAAAATATGATGTCTTACTGAATACTTTCCTCTGATCATCATGCAATCAGGACTTTTCTCCTGTAGGGCCTCACAGGTAAACAATAAGATTTGCATTATGGCAGAATCCTTTCCTGTTCTCATTACATTTGTGGGGGGTAGGGATGTATGTGTATACATACACATATGTGTGTGTATATATATGTATATGTGTGTGTGTGTATACACACACACACACATATAGTATACCTCAGGATAAGCTCACCCCTTCACAGGTTGGATGGAAGTGGGTGGGCGGGGTGTGACTATCCCAGGTTCAATGTATTTTGTGGGTCTCAACTCTTAAAACTATAGCTCACAAGTCCATGTTGATGTGTTTACCTTCAGCCGTTGGTCAGAGGACACAATTAGCTCAGAGCAAAGGTATTTATTGAAATGGTATAGTAATACCCAATTAATAAATAGTCAAAGGATATGAATAGGCAGTTTTCAAAGGAAGAAATCCAAGCTATCAATAACCATAAAGAAAAATGCAACAAATCATTAACAATTAGAAACATTTTAAATAAGGTAACTCTGAGGTGCTACTTCACACTCATCATATTGGCAAAGTTGACCAAAAAAAAGAAAAATGACAAATATTAGAGGGCCTGCAGGAAAATAAGCACATTAATAAACTGTGAATAGGTAGAGCTGTGAATTGGTCAACCCATTCTGGAAAACAATTTAGAACTCTGCCCCCAAAGGCACTAAACTATGAATATCCTTTAATTCTGCAACATCACTATGAGGCCTATGCCCCCACAGAGACAAAATAAAGAGCATAAGGCTATACAAACATATGTACATATGTACATGCATATATAGATATAGATATATACACATACATATATATGCTTGTGTATATATCAGTATATCTCACAGCTCTTTTTGAGCCCAACAGTTGGGGAATAGCTACATAAAATATAAAGGTAATGAAATAACACTGTGCAATAAGAAATTATAAAAGGGGCAGTTTCTGAGAAACCTGGGAAGACTTGTGTGAACTGATGCGAAGTGACTGAATACAAGGAGAACATTTTAAACAGTAAGTCAATAAGTTAAGTCAACGAATATGTATTAAGTATCTACTATGTTCTAGACACCCTGCTAAGTAACACTGTAAAGACAAGTAACTCTGAAAGACTCATAAACTCTGATGAAAGCAATGATCAGTCCCTCATCTCAAGGATCAGTGCTATAGACTCAGAATGCAGAATAAGACATATTTCTTGGAAACAACCAATGAGGAGATTTTTTTTTGCTTGACTATGTGTACTTGTTACAAGAGTTTTGTTTTTGTTCTTCTTTTCATTGGAAGAGGAGATGAACAAGAAAGAAAATGGATTTTTTAAAATTGCAAATGAAACTTTAAA